CCAATTCTCGGGCGCGAGTGGGTGTAAGACGGTATGCTTCGCCCTTCGATCGTGATGGAACAGGAGAGGACGGGATACGTCAGCCGGTTAGCTTTTCTGTGAGAGAAGCCGTGTTAGCAGTGCCTGCGAATCTAACAGCAGAGGAGGTTGGAAAGGCAGATGGATAGACATACCGGCGGAGAGACATGGAATCTGCGATATGGAACGTGAAATCGGTATGGAATCGAAATCGCCTGCGGACATCGTCTTGGGAGGTGTGCGAGGTGAAGATGTGCCCGCTGGACGATTTCTCCCGCCATAGGTCGACGGACACAACAGAGAGCCTCGTAGTTCTGACATGAAGATTGTGACTTTGTTCCCTTGCCTTTCTCTTATTCCTGTAGGCTGACTGGCGCCGATATCACAGTCTTTTCGTCTCTGCCACACTACCAATTCCCAGACCTGAGTCGGTGCAAGACAATACGCTTCGTATTCGATCGTGGTAGGATAGATAGGATGGGACGACGTCATTCGTTTCGCCTTCTGTGAGAGAATTCTCCGTCAGAGAAGCCACGCTGGAAGTATCGACAAAGGTGAAAGAAGAGTAAGGTGAAATGAGAGTAAGGTGAAAGGAGAGCAAGGTGGAAAGGTAGACAGACAGATAGATTGGCCGCTCAGTCACGATCTTGACAATCAGAATCAGCCTCCTCGATGCTGTTGTTCCACCAATCCCCTGGCCAGGTCTGGGTTGAAGAAGATGAAGAACTTCGCTTCGATCGTAGCAGGACAGGATGGGACGCCGTGATTCGTTTCGTTTTCTGTGGGAGAAGGTGTGTTAGAAGCATCTATCAAAGTGAAAGGAGGATGTGGAAAGGTATATAGACGGGTGGATGTAGAACATCGAGTGTGAGCCGGTAAACACACGAATATCATCGCAGTATGATGTGATGATTGTGGTTGTGGCCCCATTTCCCAACCCTTGCTCTTGCTCTGACTCTTGAAGACTGACCGATCAGCCACGATGTCGACATCCAGAACCAGCCTGTTCGGTACGGCAATACTGGTAACCCCCCCGGAGAGGTCCGGACTGGAGAAGAGGACGCGCTTTGCTTCGATCGTAGCAGGGCGGGCCAGGGTGGGGCGGTCCGCTTTGCTATGGGGCGGCCACGTTAGGAGGGTCTGCGGGGGTGGGGGTGAAGCGGGGTGTAACGGTAGACAGATAGACGGACCAGGAACGTCAAACGCGAGCCGATAAGCACACGAATCTCATCGCAATATGATGTTAAGATTGTGACAGTAGCTTTGTTTCCCAACCCTTGCTCTTGCTCCGACTCTTGTCCTCTGACCGATCAGCCGCAATATTGACAATCAGAATCAGCCTTTTCGGTACCATTCCTCGCGGACAACGGGTTCAAGGTCGTCTGCGTGGACCGGTACATCGTAATGACGCAGTGCACGGTCGAGATGATCGAGGCCGAGGGCCACCAGTGGAGCGGTGATCGCGATCCACGCCGACGTGACGGACGAGGTCCAGAGCATCGTGGACACGGCACTGCACTACCAATCCACGGGGCAGGTCTGGATTGAAGAGGACGACGGGTTTCGTATCGATCATGGCAGAGGGGATTGAGTCAATCGCTTCGCTGCTCTGCGAGAGATGCCACGTTTCTGTAAGAGAAGCCACGTTAGAGGTCTGCGAAAGCGAAAACGAAATCGGAGGTAGGGTATAGACAGACAGACGGACCGGGAACGTAGAGCATGGAGCATCAATCGGCCCATGATAGATACGAAGAGTGTCGTAAAGCGAGGAACTTCCGCGGATCCTGACGGTTTGACTCGACACGGCGAGGTAAAGGTCGTGAAGACCGTGAAGCCTGTTTCCTTGTCCCTACTCTTGTAGACGGATCGCCTGACTAACCGTGGTATTGATACCGTGTCGTTTCAGTACCACCTGTCACCAGGTAGTCTGGTTGCTTCCCTGCTCCTACTCTTGCAGACTGACCAACTGCGATATCGACAGTCAGAATCCGCCTTTGTGGTACCATGGCACTACCGATTGAATCCCCTGGCCAGGTCTGGATTGAATAAGGTAATGCGCTTCGCTTCGATCCTGACAGGACATGATAGAGTCAGTGGATTCGCTCTCATGTGAGAGAAGCCACTTTTCTGTAAGAGCAACCATGTTCGAAATCTGCGAAAGCGAAAGCTAAAGCGGAGCCAGGGTGTAGAAAGACAGACAGACAGAGAATGTAGAGAGTATGGAGCATGAATCGGCGCATGATGGACACGAAGATTGTCATAGTGAGAGTCAAAGGTCGTGAAGACCGTGAGCTTTGTTTCCCTATCACTACTCTTGTACACCGCCTGCAGTATCGACAACCAGCCTTTTCGGCACCAGCGATCCCCCATCAGTCTTGCTGTTGCCTACTCCTCCTCTTGCAGACTGATCGACCGCGATATCAACAAGCAGGCTTTCGGAAACCACTGATTGTCGCTCTGGTCTGAGTGGAAGAAGACGAGACGCTTCGATTTCGATGTCGATCGTAGTAGGATATCGTAAGAGGATGGGACAGAATCGGTCATTCGCCTGTGAGGAAGCCATGTCAGGAATATCCTGTAACTGCGACTGCGGACAGAGGGTGGAGGTGGAAAACAGGTGGACAGACAGAAGACGGTTCGACTTGAAATATGGCACTGGAGAGACGAGCAGGAGAGACGAGCTGGAGAGAGGAGCAGGATATGGATATGTATGCGCCCAAGGTATTGGTGAAGGGGCGCATGTAGGCAAGGATATGAATAATGTGAGGTAACGGGTAGTTGAGAGGAACCGAGAAATGCACAGGATATGAGCAGCGGAGGCAACATGAATCAAGACGGAAGAAGATGAAATTGGACTCTCGGCGAAGGGGGGAAACATGCAAAACGTGTCAAAAAACAGAAAATCATTGAATGCGAAGAGGAATGTCCAAGACGTCGAGGGGCATGAAGGGTGAAAAGAGGGACATGAGAGAAGAACCTGCAAAACAAACAAAACGAAAAGCCACATGCAAGAATTTGACCAGCGCGGCCGAGTAGGCCGAGGTTCGTAGTCAAATCGTGTCAGACGCACAGATGCAGGCCTCGTGAGCCCCGTGGTCTCACGGACACTCTACTGAACCCGCCAGAGTCTCTAAGAGGCTCGGGGGTGGCATCCCCAAATCCGTCCGGCCCAGCAGTAGTAGGCGCGCCACTACACCCAAGAAAAATATGCGTGTCATCTAGCGTTTCTTCGCTTCCTCAACGTTCAAGAAGGATACACATGAAGTAGAAAGATACGCAGGACGCTCAGCCATACTCTCTCCATCGCTCATCATATCTTCTGCATTAGTCGTTTCCTTTGCATCGATCGGGTCATGGTCGTGGAGGAGGGAGCCATAGCGCCTATGGTAGGAAGGCAGCAACGCCTGTAGTAAGGGAGCTGCCGCGGTGTGGTACATACGGGATTCGATGCTCTCTGTTTGGGGACTTAACGGCCGGGTGCCGATACACCCTTCCGAATGACTTGGAACTTTTCTCCGGATGACGGATTTTTTTTTTTTTTTTGACAGCAACGCTTAAAACATGTACAAAGGTAAAACGTACAAAAAGCGCCACGAAGAAGGGGAAATTCCACATAGAACATAAAATAGACTGTGAGGCGTAAACCCTTGGGGTTTCAGCCTCCAATGGCCCTTAGATGAATTGTGGAATTATGAATAGGATCTCAGGTGCACCTTTTGCAATCTCATCCTCTCCTTGCACCCAACTCTCTTTGCCTCGCCATATTTTTGCCGAGTTGCTTCGCTTTCTTTGTTCTCATCTCATCGTTGCTTTAGGACCTATCCACGCAGGCTTCCTCGAGTCTCGCCTAAGCCGGCTTAGTAGTGTAGATGGTTGGAGAAGAGGCATGCTGGACTTACGGGACTCAATTCCTCGGGCGCTTCGTACAGGTATCGCATGCCTCGCACAATCTATGAGTTGGTAAGTAAATATCAGTTCGGAGGTGATGGGGATCACGAACAAAAAGTCTTGGAACGTATGGAGCAGGAAACTCTTCGCTCAATATCTTGCACAAGGTCGGGATAGAGAGTCGGTGGGATTGAACTCGATCAATGACGAACCACTCCATGCCTTCGCGGGTAGGAAGGTAACATTGCCCTGGTTCAAATGCTTTCGGCATGCTGATGGTGACGATGATCAGAGGCTTGAAAGAGTTGGATGGACAGGAATCGTGCTGAAGAAGCGAACTGACTTGAGTTTTGTATGTTTTGTTACCAAGGAAGGTAAGATGTAAGAGAAAGAAGAAGAAGAGGTCGAGGAGGAAGAATTTATGTCACGAACCGGAAAGTATCACTCACACGTAATAACCCCTTATTGTTGCAAGTACCGCATGCTCACCGCCTAAGGGAAGCTCCTTCCCTTATGCTTTAAGTCTTAGTCAGGATATACTATTAAGGAATACCTGTACCTACCTGTTACCTGTCGCTGCCCTCTGCCTATCTCTATAGGCCGTTCCTGACAATTTAAGGCGAATATAAAAGTAGAAGTAACCATGAGTAGCCATGAGTGGCCTTGAGCAACTGTCCTGAACCGCCATCAGCTGGGGGACACGTGAATATAACTGGCCATATCACCTGTGTAGGCAGCAGTGCGTGAAGATGACGACGGCGGTGGTGGCTCAGGAGGGTTTTCCTTGCTTCCTTGCTTCCTTGGTTGCTTGGTTGCTTCAGAATATGATCCAGGCAACGTGAGTCCTACCAGCTCGTCCCTGTACATGATATCATGCCTTCGGGCCCAATGCACCTTTCAAGTGCTTTGCGGCCGACTAGCAGATATCTTTGGACCTGTGGCAGGCGAGCTTCGTCATGTTGTCCCATGGAAATGGACGTGCTCGACCAAATTCCCCCTTCAAGCGCTTTACGTCCGACTGACGGATATCTTTGGACGCGGATCAGGCGAACTTTGGCATGTTGCCCGTGGAAATGGATGTGCTCGACCAAATTTCACCGCCGCAATGCGCGCATGCTGCACATGCACAGCATCACGTAGGCCCCGCACGTCTTGCCGTTCGGGTCTCTCAGCAGCTTCGCGTATCTGTCTATCACCACGAGCATCGTGTCGCACTTGTAGCCGAGCAAGACCATGTGTGTGTCCCCGCCCATCTCCTCTTCCATGTACGGGTTCCCGGTGGTGGTGGTGTTCCTGGTTGTTTCTCGGCCCGATTGCTTCTCCCATCGATCCGTTCTTGCAATCGTTCGCGCAGAAGAGTCCAAGTGCTGCGGTAAACGTGCAGGGTGCCCGGACGCAGATGGTCGGCCTCGGGCTTGACTCGCATTGCGTAGTGGTCTTCCTGGCAAGGCTCCGATACGATCCAAGCTGTATAGCGAGCATTACCATAGACATCTTCCAGCCTCATCATGCAAAGGACGACTTCTTGATACACTTGGTTGTCAAGAATCGAGGAAGTGTCGATGTAGATCTGCCATATTGATGATTGCAGCCAGCTTGACCGTGGACTGATGGCAATCTTGAACCGCTTTGGCGTCCCAGATGATCTGCCCCCCATGACAACCTCCTTGGAGTATCTGAGCCAGCGTGCTTTGGGCCCGACTGGGGACTGCCAGAAAAGGCTGGAGGGAGTGGCCAAATTGGCTCATGATAGCGTGTACTTTATCAGGCCCTGCGGAAGCTCCTCCATCGGCGCTGATCTTGATATCGACGCGGACGAGTTCGTCATTACTCTCCTTTTCGTGTACATCGGCACGCGTTGTGATGAACAAGCTGCCTGGAAGACTAGGCGGTCTGCGGAATATGCGCGATGAGGGAAAGCCGGCGAATGTTTCCATTGCTTTTGGGTAGTCTCGCCGCCGACTGCGTCCTCAGCTTGCGGTTCGAATCGCGTGCGTGAATGAGATGACTCCTCCTCAAGCCGAGTCTCCTCGACATTCCCCGCTTGGGCCATTGATAAAGTAAGTGTTTGACTTCCTTTTGTGCCTTTCAAATCCTCTCAAGCATCTCAGGATATCCAACGTCGGGACTGGGTGCCTGATGAGTACTTGGTAAAGTGCCTCTGTAGGTATGGGAAGAATGACTCGCGCCGACGTCCTTCCACTTGTTCAAGCCCTCTTCTGCGTTGCGGTCGGACGTCTCTGTGTCTTGAAGCGAGCACAGCGCCTCGACGCAGTGATCGAGGCTCCTGACGGCGGTGCTGAGCCAGTGGTACGGCGTGGTCGTCATGCATAGCTCCGGGTCGAGAATGATCAGGTTCATGCCAATGCCGGAATGAAGGAACGCCTCGTTGTGCTTGGTAGAGTCGTCCGTGCCGCCGCCTAGGTTGAAGTACTTTGGGGGTCATATCAGCGCATAGCTCGATTGAGGCAGTTCAGAGAGGCGAAGGAAAGGGTACTGAATACCTCGTCCAGGTCTTTCCTTCGCAGGAGGGGGATCGAGAGGTGAACCCGGCTTTTGCCAAAAGCTGCGGCTTGTAGTGAATACAGATTGAAGAGTCGATTCGACCAGTAATGTCGCTCATTTTCCAGTCTTCGCTATTGCCACCAGCTCGATGCATGGCACGTTGGGTGTCTTGAAAGGTGTACTGTGTGTGTATGGGTTTGGCAATGAGAGGGCTTCAACATGATGAACATGAAGGCCCTCGCCATGTCAAGGTCATGATCGTGGCTGTGGCTTTGTTTCCCTCCCCCTGCTCGTGTAGACCGACCAAGGTATGGACACGAAGAGCCTCGCAATGTTAAGGTGAAGATTGTGACCGTGACTTTATTTCCCTGCTCCAGCTCTTGTAGACCGCCCACAGCATGCACATGGAGAGAGGTATGGACACGAAGGGGGCCGCAATAGTGAAGGTGTGAAGATCGTGAATTCTTGTTTCCCAAGATGAAGGCTGTGACTGCGACTTTGCATCCCTGCTCTCGTAGACCGACTGCGGCATGGACACGGCGGAAGGCATGGACACGAAAAGGGCCGTAGTGTCAAGGCGAAGATCGTGAAGATAGTCAACTCTTGTTTGCCTTCTCCTACTCCTGCCTCTTCTCTCGTAGACCGACAGCTCGACGTATAGACAATCAGCCTTCTCTTCACCACTGTGCCGCCAGTCCTCTGGCTTGGTCTGAACAGAGTAAGAACAGGACAACGCGCTTCGATCGTAGTAGGACAGGACAGGTTTGGACAGGACAGGTTTGGACAGGACAGGTTTGGACAGGGAAGACTCGGACAGGATTGCTTTGCGGTCTAATTGATGAGATTGTAGTCCGGAAGAATCTAACTAGTGGTTGCAACGACAACACGGTAGATATTGGTATGCGCTCAGCCTCGTGAGGAGTAGCCAGCCTTGTGCGGAGCACCGTGACAGATAGGATCGGAGGCTGGGACAAGGCTGGGACAGGACAAGGCTCGGACGTGCTCGGACAGATTCGGACAGGCTCGGACAGGCTCGGTCAGGACGGGCTCGGTCAGGAGAGGCTCGGTCGCCTTCTGTCCTTTACTGGTGAAGCCATATTAGAGTCATCTGTAAAGGATAAAGCCGAAGTGGGGTGGAAAGGTAGACTGACAGACAGACAAGCATCGAAAGACTTGCACGAGCCATGTGATCTTCCTCGCTGCAAATATTGCAAGTCATGTTTCGGGGTCGAGGACAGTCTCGAGCCAGATATGATATCCCTCGCCACAGTCCCGGCATGGTATCTTCTCGTGCCTGAGGTAGCCTTAGGGGTTGGTTGCGGTATCATGGTCGCGTCCGAAGGGGCAAGCTCGATGGTAGACCGGAGCGTGTAGTCATGAAGTGGAATAAATGTCAGAAGATATTCAATTTAAGTTGACAGGCTGCTAACAGTGTATGCGCAGAGTATGTAGTATCCCAAGACACAAAGACAGAAGGGGTATGTAGTGAGAAGCCCACGGTGTTCGCGGTCGACTGACGAAGTCTCAGATTTGGATAGCAGTGGGCGAGGTGCTTCGCATCTCTTGCAGTTGGGGCAATTCACGAGTCGGGCAATCCATAGCCAGATGACCTTCGTCACCACCATCTATCACGCTGACCATGCTGTGCCATTGATGGTTGAGTCAATTCGGGCAGTGGTGCTGGCCAATTCTTCATCGCAATATCGATATCCAACCAGGTGCACAGATATGCCCGAGGCGCATCTTGCGGCAGGCTGGCTTCTCCTTGCTTGGACAGCTCTACGGCATCATATCAGTATCAAACATCGTGATACCAGAGATAAGACGTACCTTGGCTGAACGCCTCCAAGACTCGCAGAGATAGAACACGGATCATCACTCAGCATGCTCTCGAAGATCCTCATGATATGAGGTGAAGATCGTGACGTTTTGTATCTGTCTCCCTACCCCTTCTCTTGTAGATACCCCTTCTCTTGTAGACCAATGACGGTATGCAGATGGTGAGAGGAATGGACACGAAAAGGGTCGAAACGTTGAGGCGAAGGCCGTGAAGATCGTGGACTTTTGTTTCTCTGCTCCTACTCTTGTGGCCCAATTGCGGCATGGATGGACACGAAGAGGATTGTAGATACGAAGAGGATCGTAACGGTAAAGGCCGTGAAGATCGTGAGCTTCTGTTCTCTTGCTCCTACTCTGGTAGACCGACTGCGGGATGGACACGAAGTGTATCGTAACAGTGAAGGCCATCAAGATCGTGAGTTTCTGTTCTCTTGCTCCTGCTCCTGCTGGTATAGACCGATGGCTCGATGTATAGACAATCCACCTTTTCAGTACCACTGCACTGCCAATACCCTGGCCAGGTCTGGATGGAACACGGACACGACAGTGTACTTCGATCGCGGAGGGAGAGGACAGGACGGACGGACAGGCTCAGTCGCTTTCTGTCTTCTGTGAGAGAAGCCATGTCAGAACCAGAAGTAAATGAGAAAGCGGAAGTAGGATAGAAAGGCTGACTGACTGATCGACTGGCAGACGAGACGAAAGACTTATACGAGCCATATGACCTTCCTTACTGCCAGTATTGCAAGCCATCTTTCGGGGTTGAGGACAGTCTCGAGTCAGATGATCCTCGTCACCGCAGTTGCGGCAGGTTGTCTTCTCACGGGTCGGACAATGGATAGCCATATATTCCTCATCGCAACAGTTGCGGCAGGCTGGCGTCTCCTCGTTTGGACAGTCCTGCGGCACCATGTTGGTATTGAATATCGTGTTACCAGAGACAAGATGTACCTTTGCCAGATGCTCGCCATTCTCGCAGACATGGAACATGGAATGTCAATCGGCCTGCCCACGAACAGTCTCGTGCGGTATGAGGCGAAGATCATAACGATGTGTCGTGATTCTTGTTTCCCTCCCCCTTTCTCTTGCTCATGTAGACCAACGGACTGCGGCATTGCCAATCGGATTGAGCCTTTTCGAATCGCGCATTCCCAGACCTTTGTGGCGGACAACATTGGTCCTGGAGGACTCATCAGGATCGCAGAGGAACACCCGTTCAGAGGCTCAAGAGTGGGTGAAAAGTAGCGGCCACGTCGCCGCCAGGGGATTCCAGAATGGTGAGTTTTACAGGATGGTCTGCTCCTTGCTTTTTTCTTCCCAAGGCAGCTCTGAACGGAACCAGACGCGGCTTCGACCGTGGTAGGAAGGAGAGGACAGGATCGGATAATTCGCTTTCTGTGAGGAACCCAGGTTAGAAACACCTGCGAATATGGCGGTGGGAGGGTGTAGGTGTAAATGCAGACGGGCGGAGGTATTTGGAGCGTGGAGTATGGAATGTGGGACACGGAACATGAAAGGGGGAAATATGAGAGAGGAATCTGACATGGGTATGTATATGCCTGCGTCATCAATGAGGGAAAGGAACATGAGCAATGCAGAGGACATGAGGAGTGGGGTACACGAGAAATTGAGCGGACCTGAAACGAGACGGAGGGAGATGAAGTTGGACACTCGACGAGGAGAGGAATATATACAGACAACATGCAAGAAGTCGAAGACTGCGGTGTCCCGCCGTGGCCTTGACAATGTTGAGTGTTGAGAGTGGGATCCCCGCACGAGGCTGACTACCCCACACGAGGCTGAGTGTCTATTGACTCTTCTACTGCGAGCTGCGGGCTATTACCAGTTGGACTCTTCCGTCGCAGAATTCATGTGATACTCATGTCATGATTGCACCCTAACAGCAGTGGCTCCCCCTGCTCCAGGTTGCGCCGTGATACATAATGTAGTATGAAGATCGTGACTTTGTTTCCCTGCTCCAGCTCCTCCTCCTGATCCTCCTCCAACTCCTCCTCCTGCTCCTATTCTTGTCGACCAATTGATTGACCGACCGCGGCATCGAAGCGTCGAGGTATTGACCATTCGTCGCTTTCGCACTATGAGTCCGTAGGTAGATCTGGGGGCAACAAGATGGCGCGGTCCGACTTCGATCGTGGCAGGCAGGGCAGGAAAGGGCCAGGTCAGGCTTGGTGGCTTTCTGTTGACTGTGAGAGAAGCCATGTTAGAAACGTCTGTCGAATAGAAAGCAGAGGGAAGGTGTACACAGGCAGACGGACATGGAATAGGGAACACGGGCATGAATCAGCCCATGGCGAGATACCTCCTCCAAAAAGCCGGCTGCGGTTCGGCCAAGGACATGTCCTGAGCCTCTGCGACCCCGTGGCTACCATTGACTGCGTTGACGTCCATTTTCGTGTCTTTTCCAGTTCCGTCGCGGTCCATCCGTCCAGTTTGTGTGGGTCGTTGGTGTCCCAGTTTGTGGACTTGACCTGAGATCCCACGGAAGGCGAAAGGAAGGGCTCTTGTTTTTGCAATTGTTTGTTGGCAAAGGCATCTCCTGTGCCCAACTCTGCCAATTCGATATTTCAGTTGCTCGAGATTCCACCGTAACCGTGAATGGTTCATGATTGAGGACCGAGCCGCCGCGTCCCTGGCCTGGTCTTGCAGCCAACGAGGCGACCCTGGCGTGAAAGGTAGGAGTGGGTGTGGGAATGGTGTGATCGGAAGAAATGCAGCGGCTTGACTGGGGCAAAGTATCCAACACGAGAGAGCCAAGTCTCAGCGCTCTGCATACTGCGAATTCTCTTGCACTCCAGCTCTTCAAGTCAAGTGGCCTCTCGGCAGCCCGTTGTGGCCAACGCCTGGTCACACCATATCGCAATCCATCCTTGGGGACCAGCACAACCACGGCCAGTTGGGCGTGACTGTCTTCTTCTTGGGCCGTGCAGCCAGAGTTTCAAGGGCGGCAGAGGTTCAAGGGTGGCAGAGGTTCAAGGATTTCAGATTGTTGAGCTGAAGGAGTTGCATCAAGGGTCAACGAGGAGGCGCAGAATCTGAATCTGGTGCATCAGCCTGGAGACGACGGCATTCCTGGGACCATCTCCACGTCAGTACCTTTGAGCAATCAATTCGGCTGGTCACAGACCTCCTCGAGTGTGCAAAAATCCCTTCATGTCCGCCACCACTCTCACGCCAAACCTGCGAAGTGAGATCGGGCTCGGACAATTCGAAGGTCCGGATGGTAAAGGATGCCGAATATTCAATGAGATTGACCTTGGCGCGCTTCGTTGGCGAGCGGGAGACACCACGCATAGATCGCCATGAGGACCGTTGGAGATAGCAAGCGAGGGATGAGCAGGCGAGTGGCGAACGCATTGGGGGCCGCGGGTGTGGGTGATCATGGTGACTTGACTGGTATGCATTCCATCCGCCGCACCTGCGGACTTGTTGTGTGCCGCGGTGGGGATTATTCGGCTGATGTTCCCGATACAGTTAAGGGGTCCCCGTGGGGCGTCCATGATAAATTGATTGGCACAAAAATCTTGGAAATTATTCGGCTAACACTCCTAATACGGTAAGGGCAAGGCGGTTGAGCTCCTTCAAGTCTAGCGACCTCTTGGCAGCTTACTGTAGTAAACGTCATGACAATTGTCTGAGACAGTGAGCGACGGCCAGGAGGTGAACGAACAATCCGGGGTCCCGGGGGAAGCAAGCTGAGCTTGATCTGGCCGGTCTGCGGCAATGTTTTAAACGGTCGATAGATTTCCTTTCGATATGTAGATACTCGTACGCCAATGTGATGCACTGCGACGCGGCTGTCATCTGCCCGCAACCCCGAATCGGGTTGTTTGCTCGATATTCATTGCGTTTGCTCGTGATTCCGTAAGGTGTGTCGTTCTCAGGCTAAAGGGCGAGAGGGCAGGGCACAACGGCACTTTCGTCCATTGGCAGCCCTCTGGCGTCTTTCAGCCGTAGTTTTTCAATTCATATGTCTAGTTCTTTTGGCTCCACGGTCTCTCCAAGTGTGAATTCAGGACGCTGCCGCGGCCAACCTGGTGAATGTCGCCTGGAAAGAAACTCCCGCATTTTGGGCCCGTCAGGATCGAGAAGTCGTTGAGGTAGCCCCTTTCCAATGCGAATCGAACGAGAAACTCCCAGAGGTCAAGCGAGGGTGGGCGGGAACGCGGCGGTATCACTGGCGAACCGAATTGGTTGCAATCAGTCTATGGCGGTGGACGGAAACGCAGACAAGTCTCATTCACGTTAAGTGTGAGATACCCCGCACAATGCTGATTACTCCGCACGAGGTCTGCCAGAGTGTTCATTAACTATTCTATCGCGAGTTGCGCGAGTTGCGCGCTATTACTATCTAAGACTCTTCCGGCCCAGCGGCCTTGTCGTTGGCGTCCTCCTTGTTGGCAGGCTTCTCCTGCTCATTGGTGGGCTTCTCCTCCTCACCGGGAGGCTTCTCTTCCTCATCGGAAGCCTTCTCTTCCTTCTCGGCAGCCTTCTCCCCCTCATTTGCTGGCTTCTCCTGATTGTCAATGACCATCACCTCTTCATCATTGACTGGTATCCCCCCTTCATTTGCTGGCTTCTCCTGATCATCATCGATGACCATGACCTCTTCATTATTGCCTGGCATATCCTCCTCATTTGCTGGCTCCTCCTGATCATCGACGGCCATCGCCTCTTCATTGTTGGCTGGCATCTCCTCCTCATTTGCTGGCATCGCTTGAACGGACTCGTTCATGGCGAGCAAGGCTTGCTTTGCCGTGAAGGACGCGAGGTCCTTTTTCGCCAGATCCACGAAAGGCAGCTTGTTCTCGCGGGCAAAGGTTTCGTCGAACTGCATGCATGCCATCTGGGGCACCCAGCTGAATTGACTAAAGGTTTCGTCAGCATACCTTGGTTGTTGTGAGGTAAACTCGTAGCCACTGTAGAACGAAAGGAAAGAGAAAGTGGCAGCAAGGAAGAGACAAGACTCGGGGCACCTACTCCAGCTGTTTTCCTCCATCGTCTTCGCTGTACCAGAGCGAGGGACTGGTGTCGCGGATGAAGTTCTCGATGGTGGTGGTTTTGTCCGGGACGCCTCCCGCACCACCGCCCTGCTTCTTTTCTTTCTTACTCCACGCCTCGGCTTCGGAGATAAGATCTCTCAGTAGGTCTTGCAGCCTCGGGTCACTGTTGGGCGTGCAGATACGTATGGCAAACCAGGTCTTGTCGGGACTCCAGTAACACAAACAGACAAAGCCCTCCGTGTGAAAGTCATTTTTCTCGACAGGACGCAAACCCGGCACCTCGGGGGCAGGGATCCAGCAGGTGATCGAATCATCGTCGGTATCGGGTTGCTCGCCGGTCGAGGAGGTGGCCTTGGGAGCTGCAGGTGTCCTGGTGGTGCGTTTGGTTGGGCCACGTTTGCCCGAGGGGCGTTTGCCAGCGGTGCGTTTGCCAGCGATGCGTTTGCCCGCGATGCGTCGGGAGGGCGCAGGAAGCATGAGAGTGGAGTTTGTTGACGAAGGTGGCGCGCTGGGTGCCTTCTCCATGCCTCGCGTGTGGACCATTGTGCAACAAACGAAATGGACTGTGGTGAAATTTGCAAGAGAGGAATTTTGGTGGCTGAAGGGTTGAAGGGTTGAATAGCTCAGCCGCACGTAGTCTCTTGGCACCATCACGTGCCACCTGAGCCCTGCTTCCTTGGCACCACCGCGTGCCACTTGGAATGTCTTCACACAACAGAACCTCGACCTTTCAAGACAGTCCTTTGTACTGCGATTCAATCAATTCACTGCCTGTTGAGGCTATTCACATCGATTGAATCTGCGATCGTGAATAACACATCCAAGAAACCCGCGAATCCTTGTCAGGCTAGCTGACCGGTGTGTGTGTGTGGGTGTGTGTGGGTATGTGGGGGCCTGTTGCCCTAACCCTGTTGGGAATGTAAGCCGAATAATTTTCCCCGCTCCACACAACAACAAGTCCGCAGGTGCGGCAGATGGAATGCATGGCCTCTTACACGAACAACTCTCATCACCTTCTGTCTTCCACCCTCGTCGATGCCATCCTCACAAGATACTGCTCAGGTTGCCTCCCCGGCCGGTTCACTCGCGCCAACTGAACCAGCCATATCCTTTATGGCCAGCGCTGTACCTGACGAACCCGAGACCGCCTCTCCAGAGCAGACCGCTTCTCCAGAGCTCCGATGGTCCCCGGCCGCCTCACTTGCGCCAACCGAACTAGCCATATCCTCTGCAGCCCCCACTGTACCTGACGAACCCGAGACCGCTTCTCCAGAGCTCCGATGGTCCCCGGCCGCTTCGCTTGCGCCGACTGAACCAGCCATATCCCTTGTGGCCCCCACTGTACCCGACGAACCCGAGACCCCTTCTCCAGAGCTTCGATGGATCCTGCACTTCATATACTCGTGGGAAGGAGGAGTGAAGAGTGTTGATTGTTACGTCTGTGAAGGACCGAAGATCCCACTGAAGCAGAGCGAGGCCCTGTCCACTCCGGCCCTCGTCATATTCAGTAACGCACACGTGCTGTTCACTGAACCGCCTCCGAATGACGCCTTTCGCGAGACACCTTTCCTCACCTCGAAGACACTCAGGGACTTCAGCAAGGACAGTTGGGGTGCCGTGAAGCCCGACAACATCAACATCTCCCTGTGCAGTGTCGGTGCGCTTCTTGGGGTGAAGACGTACAAGCGTACGAGGGCTATACGCAGGGCGGCTCGAAAGATCATGAAGGGCTGTATGGACATTTCCGATGATGACGGCGGAGAATGGGATTGCACCGCGGAAGCTAAGGACCTTTGCGAGTGTAAAGATTGCCTTGGACGTTATGGGAGGCCAACTGGTGCTGGCAGTAAACGGCAGCTGGCGATTGATGATGAGGAAAGGGATCGGATCGAAAACAGGACGGTTACATTCACGGAATAGACCATGGTGCTTGGGATATATGTATGGGAGGAGGGTTCTCGAGCAAAGGCGAAGAGTGTGCCTGTTTTATCATGTATGTCATTTACGTATCTAGATCCTTTGAATTAATTCCCAGTTTCCAGGCATATCAGTTCCCCCTTTATTGCCTCCTCGGTAAACCCGGCTTCACTACCGGAGACAAGTGAGGAAGATCAGCAACCTTCCAGCGAGGATGAGGATGAGGATGAGGAGGATGAGGATCAGTGTGTCATCGAGGAGACTCATGAAGAAGAGCCGTATGCATTCCAGCCGGAAGGGAATGAGACCGATACCTCGGCCGATCAAGCCTCCAGTGGCGGGGACGAGGAGGAGCAAGAGGGCGAGGATGACGACGAGGTCGAGGAGATTCCCCCGGGAGCCCGAACTACCTAAACCACGGACACGGCAGCATTAGGCTCTTCAGACCTCCGTGGTCGAAAGGAGGAGGGAGGGCCATCAGACTGCGGATATACGGGCTTTAGGAGATGAGGATGGAGAAGCAGCTAGGTTCATGGCGCTGTTCAAGGAAGTACATGTTTTCTTCGCTGCCTGGCCATGCCCGGGCTCAAAGTTTCTCTATCTTACCGAGGGATGGGCGGAGGATCACCTCCTGGACAAGAGGATAGTCATAGAATAGTTATTTGAAATTGATAGCATTATACACTGCTTAATTGTGCCTATATAATGAGTGTGACACCCTCTAAGGGGCGATGGCGAAGGCCTGAAGCTCAAACAGGGACCGAAATCTGGGGTGGAGGGATCCATCATTCCATCTTTCCATCATTCCACCATGTAATCAGAATGGCTAACCTTCTGCACGTACCAATTTCTTGAAGCCCCGGCGGCACCATTCGGCGAAACGTCGCCGTGGTGATGGGGCCTTCTCTTCAGAAGGCAAGGGCCTGTGGAGTACAAATGTAGCCAGCGGCGTCACTTTGGACCCAACGAGCAGTTCATCCTCCCCCTTTTCCCCGGACCCGAGGGTTGACCCAGGGGTGGGGACCTGGGTCAGCCCGTCGTCGTCAGACCCGAGCTCTAGCCAGCTGGTGTAGGCATCTTCGATCAACTTGTCCATTGCCACCATGGAATCCGACTTTGAGTGTTGTTGAGAACTGCGAGCGGTGGTTGATGAATGTGCCTCGCCGTCGTCAGACGGATCCCGACGAATAGGGTCTTTGGGGTCATCGAGACCTTTCGTCAATTCCGCTCTGCTAATTTTCTTCGCGGGGAGCGTGCTGGCTCTCATGTGCGGCTGCTCAACAGTTATCTTTATTGTGTTGGCGTCAGCCCCAGTCCGCTGCTGCACAGACTCTCTTTCTTCCCGTTGAATTGCCTCGACGAGAGCAGCCGGCACTTTGTTCCTAGTCCACCTGGAGGGGAGGTTGTTGATCTTGCAGTAATAGTCGTCGAAGAGATTGTAGGCCTGCTCTAGGGTTCCGTGGAAGACGAGAGTGGTAAAATAACGGATCGTACGGAATTCCGATCGATACCGAGGGCCGTAGTCCAGCTCTCCGGACTGTCCGGCTTCAAACCAAAGCACCTTGGCGCTTGTGACAATGATCAGCGTCGTGTTCGCCGGTACGCTGACGGGACCGAGATCGGCTTCTTCTCCCCCGCATCTGTAAATAAGCTTGCTGTTGCGGCTGAACAAGAGCTGAGGAACAAGATGGGGACGAAAGGGATAGGGCGAGAAAAAGAAGGTGAGCGCGCCACCCTGAACGATGTCCGAGACTAAAGTCTCATACGGAGCCAGTTCAAGTTGCCGTTCAGAACGCTTCTTGTTGAGAGCCATGATGCTGATGAGTAGGATTGCTGATGGTAGTGCGAGGAGATGGATTTGCAGAACGAATCGATCGCAGCGGATGGGTGGGCGAAATCAGGCGCACTTATCATCGCCTGATGGATTGTGATACCCCGCGGATGAGCAGCTGATTTTTTGGCATGCACCTTTGTATTGAATCACGTTCGGAAACTTGGAAATTCCCCTGCTAGCGCTGGCGCCCGCCGTCCGTCTCCCCTTGTTCATGCGAACGCCGGACTAGGCTAACCCGGCCAAAAGTAAATTGTTACGTCGAACGAGATGAGATGTCTGTTTAATTGGGTGCCACACTCAACGTCGCATTGGCTGATTGCCCCGGCTGTCACATCCACTAGCGCTTTGGATGCCACGCTGAGTGAGGTCTTGGCTGCGATGCTGGATGATGCGTTGAGTGTGGCATCAACTGCTCTGTCTTGAGTGTGCACTGCCCCACCTTCGGCAATTCTATTGGCTGAATTATGGGGGTCTGCGGGCGCCACATTGGTCACTTCAGCCGCTAAGGTCTTGGCCGTCACATTCGCTAGCGCTTCCGAAACGACGCTAAGTGATGCCTTGGCTGCCATGCTTGGGACGACGCCTCACCACAGTGCCAACCACACCCCTTTTCAGGGTTTCTGTCCTTTCCCCCCTTTTTTTTGCAGGTCGCCACTCAGCCGGACGTGTATGACAACTCTGCGGAAGAAGATGACCAGAGCATGGAAGACGAGTTTTGAGGACGTACCTATGGGGCCGTGGCCTGTCAGATTTTCGCAGCCATGCTCACCGACCCGGATGGCCAGGGGATGACCATACGGTCGAGGAGGACAACTATCCCTTCCCATCCCTGAGGTTGTACAGCGCATCGTGGTAACACAGCCGTTTGGAATATTATTCTCACACAATAAAAGCTCAGCCTTTTCAGATAGTCCTTTGTACTGCAGTTTCAATCAATTCATTGCCTGTTGAGGCTCAATCGCATCGATCGTAATAAGGAATAGCTCTTTTTTCCTCGTTCAATCCTCTACACGACTGCCGTTCGCCTGACGGTCACCACGATGGCGACACTCAGGCCAGCGCCACTAAAGCGGACGCCAGATACTCTCTTTGCATACAACTCATGCTTCTGTCTCGACAATGTTGAAAACCGAGACGGATGGGCGCTTCGGCCGGGCGACCTTTGTTTTTTCTTCGGCAACATGATTGTGCAGATCGAAAACGACGGGGAGGAATACGAGTACTCTGAACCCCTCGTCGATGAAGAGCACACCCGCGGTTTCGTGGGAGACATATTCCACGATGATCCCGCTGCGAAGTTCTACGTTGACCGGTTCATGGACAAGTGGAAAATGTGGGAAAAGCGTCGCTCCAAGGCAGAAGCTTCACACCAGTCGACCAAGAAAGATGACGACGCGTCTACCCCCTCCAAGACAGATGACGCATCTACACTCTGCGAAGGCAAGAACGATGCTTCCAATGACACAGACCAGCAAAAGCCGAGGCCATTCTTCAGGCACCGCTCCTTTTTCTGTCCCGACCATGTCGATGAACGACACAGATGGGAGCTCTACCCGGGCGATCTTGGATTTTTCCTGGATGGAATCGTCGCGATCAAGGCTGACGGCGAGGAAATTGTTGCTACGACCGACAAGGAACGTTATGACCTTCTCGATAAGAAATGCTATGGCGAAGAGGTCGTCATTTTCCTCGTGTGCAGGACGTGGAAGCGACGCTGTGACGATTTCAACGCTTCGCAATAGACCGCCGGCCAAGGAGATGTTGATTCCTCCCCCAAAGGCGACGCGGGATCCGGCCAGGATGTTGAATGAAGATGGGATGACACAACTCAGACGAGCGAGGATGATGGCAAAAACGATGGAAGAGTTACATCCGAAGACGATATGCCGGCCACTGAACAGCTCACGAAGAAGCGGAAAACTGACGGGGACGATGTGCGAGCCGCAAAGTGGTGGACCTTGGCGCAGTGGTTGGGCGTATCGCGGTGCACTGCGCAAGCCGGTGACCTATCTCTTTTACACTTCAGGGGGATTATGCGGTTCAGGATACCTGTGAGATGTTTTCATACATCATATAGAGGCCTGATATACTTGTTATGCTATCTCAAAGCTCTGCCGTTGTAACTTCTTGAGTAGGCTATTCAGTACATGTTCTTCTTCGGCCGAGATATCAGACCCAAGAGCACGACAAAGGAAACAGATGGTCTGGTGCTCGATGGAAACACCATTCTTCTCAACCACCTCGTAATATGTGTCCACGCCGTAATCCGCCTCTTCGTCATGAAGCTCCTCCGGTGTCCTTTCCCCATCCCCCCTAACAATGAGCACCTGATCGCAGTCCGGAAACTGCCAGCGAACGCAAACCATTCCTCGTTGCAGGGGAAGTTTTCCAGCCAGCTCCTGTCCTCTTTGTAGCGCAGTTTTGTCATTAAGCGTCAGTGACGGAGCTAAATATCTTGCCGCTTTTTTCAGGGTGGGACTGATCATCGTGAAGCCTTTTGAAACGACCGCCCCGGAAAGGTGCCTCTCCAGTCTGGGTGGAAAATTCTTGCCAGTGTAGAAATCATCGTAGTAGTCATCCAGGTCGTGGTAAATTACCTGGTTGCCTCGTTCCAGGTGTAGCATAGTGATCAGGAGAAGTTTTCCGCCGAAATAAGCCTTTCCGTCTTGCTCCCGCAATACGTCTTTCCCGGCGAGATTGAAGACGGTCGGACGATGCTTGACGTCTGTTAGCGTCGGTAGGATTAACAGACGAAAAAAGCTTACCGGATCGCCTCGCCGACTTTCGGAGGACCTTGAAGCAAAGTCTTCTTGCTGTTGATCAACTTTCGGATCGCCTCGCCGACTTTCGGAGGACTTTAAAGCAAAGGCTTCTTGCTGTCGATCAACTTCCGGGTCCCACCTCAAACTCTTTTTAATTTTAACCATTCTGCTAAGGCTATCGAGCGTAGTTAGGTCGCGTGGAGAAAGCTTTCTTTGAAGGTCCTTTTATCAATGTGATGCTCGTCAGTTGACGCTCAAATCTCCAGTTCCTCAGACTAATAACTACCGCTTCTAGGTGTTGCTGCACACCAGACAGTCTGCCAACATGGCGTAGATACTTACTTACCTCGTCACCCATCCCTCACTTTGACCAGCGGGCTGAATGGCTTCCAGGGAGGTGTGATGAACAGCGGCTTGAGTAAATTGATGCATTCAAGCGGTAGGCCGGACCCGTGTCTCCGACGATTGCGTCCAACCATTGCCCTTACCCCGTCAAGTCACCGTATTGGCACCTTCCGCCTGACGACAACAAATGATGAATGAAAGACGATCCTTTCCTTTCTGAGTGAAAGTTGACAGCAGACAGCTCGCAATTACGACCAGGTGCGGCACGTTGCTCGCCATCCCTGAATGCACTGGCATGAGGCCCTGGTCTTGCATGCCGCAACTCTGCACCTGATGACTGTTTCTCAGACACGCCAAGCCCAATCCTTGTTGGCCTTTGGAGAGATCAAAATCAAAAACAGGTTATTCTCATTTACAAAACGATAGTTCATCTGCAGGTCGACGCCATGGCCCCCCCCAGCTGAACGCCACGATAGACGAGTAAGACACAGACTGGCCTTGGCTTACGCTACAATCAGGTCTTGCCAACACCTTGTACCACCCTCCTTCAGGAGACACCCTTACGGACGCCGATTAAGACATAACTTGGGCACCACCTGCATCAACCTGCATCACTGCATCCTTCTCCCAACCTTTTGCATTCCTCCGACACCGACACAAACAATGGCTGACCAGTATCTTCCCTGGCAGCTGGTCAACGGCGACATACGTATCAAACACACACTCGGCGGGGCCGAAGTCGATATGACCTGGTCCAGTAACGCTCCCCGACGCGAGTACATCGCCACATCGAACCTTGAGCGAAGCCTGGTCTATTTTTTCTCCGGGCCATCTATCGATATCGCGGAGGCACTCCTTTATGAAACCTCTGGGGAACTGGACCCGACATTTCGCGGCTCACTGGAAAGACACTTGAAAGAACACCCGCAGCAAGTCGTGCAGGCGCTGGTAGAATACCTGTCGCCGTGGCAATTCACTTCTCTCCGGATCATCTGCACGGACCACAGTTACTGGCGGGTTCCGGGAACTTTTATCCCCTCGTTCGTCGTGACTCCCAAAGAGATCGTCTGCGATCCCCTGTATCCTCAATACAACAACTTCACGCCAAGGAACTTGCTGCAGTACGCCCATCCTTATGCGTCCAAGGAGCAGTTGGACGATGTTATCAAGCAGTACAACGACCAGTGGACACAAATGTATCAGCAGCAGAACCAGGGTGTGGAGCAGACCTCTGCTGGTGGACCGAGCATGGTCCAGTTTCACCCATGGTCCTCCCAGAATCAACAGGGTGGCCCCCCTCCTCCATTCTCAGTGATGTGGGGGTTCTCAGCGATATGGGGGCCACCAGCCTAGGAGTATGTCTTGGGTCATGGAGGGAGGGTGACAAGGATGACCCAGCAAGCGCGCCGGTGCTCGTCGCTATGGGCGTGGGTTGGGCATGAGAAGTGGGAGGCCTGAAAGCGCCGATCCCCATGCTGTACTTAGTCGACGTATCCAATGATTGTACCACTTGACCTTGGCGCCTTCAGGCCACCCACCGATACCCACGTGTGTGTGTGTGTGGAGACACGATATACTCGTCCGGCATTCGTTCTACGCTTCCCCGGCTGCTACACCGCTCATCCGTATATGCCAAGGCGCTAGACTCGCTTAGAAGGTAAAACATCCAATCAACGACTCAGGATCGTTTCAGCCCGCAAAAAACTCCTCAGATGCCCTGAGGCAGATTCTGGGTCCGCCAGCTTGCGAGAGAGACAGGAGAGGCAGCAAACAACAGAGTAGAAAAGAAAGGATTCTAAACATCAGCCTTGGATCCGCAGAGATTTTGTTCAGAAACCCAACCCAAATCCCCGTCCATCAGACTTCTCTCTCCAAGGTCTTCAACTTTCCACTTTGTCGTCGTCTTTCGCTCAGAGTTTCTTTCCAAGCTTCTTCAACTTTACCTTCCTTCCGCTCAGAGTTCGCTCCAAGCTCTTCAACTTTCAACTTTACCTTCCTTTCGCTCAAAGTATATCACCACATCGACAATGTCAGAGAATCTCGCGCTGTGGCAGAACACCTACAATACCGACAGGAACGGAAACCCTATCAAGGCCGAGTTTATGGGACAATTCGGGGTCACACCCGTTCGCCTGGTATTTTGCAAAGAGGCACCCTCCACCGAGGACGTGGACCTCGCTCCGGACGGGGCAATTCCGATCTTCTTTACCAGACAGACACTCGACTGGGACGGGCCTCCGGAAGTCGACAACAAGCGTGTCATCGTGTTTGGCACCCGCGAGTATCGAGAATGCGGCTCGCGCAGAAGCCAGCCCTGGAGCGACGAGATGAAGCCGCAGCGGGAGCAATTGTTCCTCCCCATTGAGCTCGCGGTGCTCCACGACCCGACCATCTACCTCCACGCGGCGGCTACATTGTTCACAGGCGTGACGGAGGATCAACTGGAGGCGATCAAAAGGGACATGAAGAAGCCGCCGCCGCCGCCGCCGTCGCCGCCCCGGTTCATTCTTTCTGTCTCGGAACCGCAGGAAGAGCTTGCCGAGACACTCGCTCCGCCCAACACACCGGCTCCGGAAGACCTGGGTCTGGAGTCTTTGTCTCTGGGAGGAGGAGAAGACCGTGCTGCGACTCTGCCTACGAAGGTCATGATGAATATGCGGGTTCGAAGGCCACGGTCTCGAGGAGGTCCTCAGCAACAACGAAAGCTACTTCAAAATCGGCGAAAATGCATCACGCACGACAGGCAACGACCCAGGGCAGCGAGCTTGGTTCGAGGCCATCGGAGGAAGGACAGTGTCGAACGTTTACGGTCAAGGCCTAGGTTGGATACATGGAGGAGTCTCGTTCTTGGTAATATGCTCGATTGGGACAACATCGCGGCTCGATGTTAAAAGCGGACTGTGTCGGCTCCTTCACCCGGTGAAAGGAGGCATAGCTTTTCGTAAAGCAGCCCGTCGGACTCCCTTACGCACTCTCTCCTTCAATCAAAAAAAGTACCTTCCTTTCCCCAGGCCTTCCGAAGCTTCCTTCCTACACCGAATTGACTCAGTATCTAGAACCGTAGCGGCCGGGATTGACCGGCGATTCAGTCACGTGGAGATGAGGCATGACTGTGACATGGTGTAGATGATGACCTCACTCGAGGCATTCGTGCCCTTCCACCAGGTCGGACAAGAAACACCTGAGCAACTGTGCAACCAGCCAGAGCGCCCACCCGAAACGAGTGACGGCGAGACAGACTCGCAGAGGCAGAGGGAGGCTCCACCTTTCGACCCACCCTCATTTCCACCTATTTCCGAGGGAGCTGGGGATACGTGAAACTATTGGTGGACAGGGGCGCCTCCTAATCAAACCAGAATGGCTGGCTGGCTGGCCGGATCCACAACTGCGGCGGGTCTTTCGGGCCAAGAATGTGTAAACCAATCGAAATGTTTTTGCCAAGGACAGTTGCTGCCCAATTCACCCGAGCCCCGCATGAGACATGGACCCACTTCCACCACCAGGTCTTTGAGGCCTAACAATGTACGTAAAACCAATGCTAAATGGGTACCCACCCTCCTTGGGCCTGTCTGTGAGGCCAACAGTGTGAACCAATGATGATGTCTTGGTCAAGGACAGTCCGTTTCCTAATTCACCGAGTCGGTCGTCTGTAGGAGGCTTGAAGCAAAAGGTCCTGACTGCATGAGGCCCTTTACCACAGCCAGTAAATTCGTATCGCACGCCTTTTTGGTGGTTACACAAACGAGCAACGCAAAGGGTCGCCTGTCAATGAAAGTGCCTGGGGCCGAGACCTTCACCTCCCCTGTTCAGTGAATACACAACTGAGCATTGCAAAAGGTCTCCTGCTGTCAACGAAAGGGTCGAGACCTTCAACTCCCCTGTTCAGTGAATACACAAATGAGCAACCCCAAACGCCACCTGCTAATGAAGGAGCGAAGACCTTCACCGCTCTTTTCAGTGGTTACACACCTGAACAATGCAAAAGGTTCCCTGTCAATGAAAGGGCTTCACCTCCCCTTTTCAGTGGTTACACACCTGAGCAACGCAAAGGACCGCCTGCTGCCAGTGACAGGGCCAAGACCTTCACCGCTCTTTTGCCTGTCGAATGAATTCCCCTGCGGGCCTCGTATTGCCAGACCGTGTGGGAAGGCATATCGTTGCCTGGGAAAAGTCCAGGCCATTTAGCAATGCTGCCTCTGGGTGGATCTAGCAGAGATGTGCGGCCTCCAAGTTCATTCCCATGTCGAAGATCCATCAAAGGTCGGAAAGTGGCCGGTCGAGAACACTCGATGTCCGTGAGGGCTTGCAGATGATACGAGTTGATCACCAGGGTGTATGTTTGAACTATTGATGCACAGTGGTGAGATGGCTGCAGGTTGACAGCCCTCCTTCAAAACAGGATTTTCAGCTCTGCACACCCAGAGAGCCCCAAAGGTCTCACTGAGGCTGATCACGGTGAAAGTACCTCCAGCTTCTCGAACGGCACTTTCGACGGGACATTGGGTTGCCCTTCCATGTAGGTAGGCGTTCAGAAATGGACAAAGATGACACAATTGGTCTCAGGTGAACTGTGGGTGCCAGTTCAGCGCTTCCAGCGGCGCTGCCTGTAAGTGGAATAGGCACTGTTCGCTTCGAGACGGAGATCGCTGAAGCGATGACGATGAGAATCGCGGAGTTGGAGAAACTAAATGAGGGGAAGCTTAGTCAGCTCTGCTTAGTCATCTGGAAGACCAGATTGGGCATTTTTCCCAAGGTGGAAACTATTCGTCTGACCTTCCTCGCATGCTTTCGGACGTGAGACGGAACACTTGACTTGGCCCCCAGTATAATAACTGACGTCAGGTCTCAAGCACGTGACAGGATCACCAATGAACGGGAAGCAGAGAAGAAGATTGATATGATCAGTTGCTACCAACGCTGCAAGCAATCCCTTTGAAAGACCATCCCAGATGTCAGCTACGCCCATTGACCTTGTGACGCCAAATTGTCTGATCGAGAATGATCACGCTTTGCGATCCTTTGCCCTAAAGCTGACTGATTGTCGATAAAGGCAACCCGAGACGCCGATAGGTAAACTACATCTCCGGTCTTGGGAGCTTCATGTGAAGCTTTCGCTAATGGTCGATTCGATCCCGATGCTATTATAGACTCGTAATATCCGCCGTCGGCTTTCTCTTGAAAGAACTCCAACTGCTATCTCGAGATAATCGCTCGCGATCAGGGCTCAGCAGTCCTTGCTGTCTTCGGAATTTGCGCACATCTCGGCCTTTCAACCTCCTCAATATTCTGGCTCTTCTGGATTTACCAGTTCTCGGACATCAGCCAAATCAGATCCTCCTACCTTTTCACCACCGGGCTCGGTGCCCTTATAGCTGCAGTCTTCGGCGTCATGAAAGTCCGCTCGCTGGCTGGGCTGTTGATGATCGGCTTCATCATCCCGTCCTGCCTGAGGGTGCTACTCGACGTCTGGTTGCAATCCCAGAGCCCTCAAGGACCCTCCGGCGCCACTCTTTATCATCACCCTCTGGATCCACGCTACTATTCAACATACGATGTCTAGTCAACAGCGTGTGGTGGACATACAAGGACGAGCAGTTCCTCAGGGCCGGCGCTGCTGCGGGCTCGTCCTCGGTTTTGTGCAGCGCTCGCCCTTGAGGTCCTCAATGATCGAAAGAGACGCACAGAGGAAGCATATACTCAATAGTTTGGCATGAAGAGGAGGAAGTTGCAAGCATTCCAACCTCAGTCCGATCCCATCGATGCGCCCATCTCTCTCTCTATCTCTTCTCCTCGGCTCGACTCGGCTTGCAAACCTCGTTTCGTCTTATCTCGTCTCCTCGCGTCTTCTTCTTCTTCTTCCTCCAGGACCTCGACTATAAGAGCGCCACCGTCCTCGCAATAACCTCGAATCGAATCTACTTCTTATGGAGACGGTTAATGCAGTCCGACGCTGTTTCAACATATCGGATCAAGCCGAGAATTTGAGATTCCGTCTGGCCCGGCACCTGAGCTCCCTGCACCACTGCGAGATGATGAGCTCTCCCAAAACTTCTGCAATGTGTTGGCGCTCAATGATCGAGTTTAGGCCGAGTCTCGCGACACACTCGATGGCGACCACCCCACCCAGAGCTTCCGCTGCGATCAGCACAAGATCCGTGACAATCCTGTACACAAAAGGAGGTCCCCTTGCGTGCTTTGTCCCTACCCGCACACCTGCTCCGGCAACCGACTCCGCGCCTCTCCTATGCCGCTTGTCGCTACCAATGGCGGCTCCCAGACGGCCGTGCCGTGAGCAGTACACGCGTGTCGTTTCTGCCCGGCGTCTTGCGAAGTGAATACGGCTTTTAGCCAGAAGATAAATGGATGGACATCCTTGGGTGGGAAGTGCCGAGAACGAACCCGCCAATTGATAGAAGGTCAACGACTGACTAACTCCGCCACGAGATGAGGAGGACGGAGCTGAGCAACAAAAAAATTCGCCAAGTGGCTCCGGTATAGGGCCTCTGAGTACACCTCGCCAGTTGGGCCCTCAATTTCCGTCGCCAACCTCATCGTTTGCCCGGCAGCTCGTGGATCGAAAGCTCCACCTCTTCCCTCGAGTGTCTTCTTCGCCTGCTTTGGCGGCGTCGTGATAGTTCTGCATGTCGATGTCGACCTCGCGGGTCCCCGGCACTGTCACCGTCATCGTCTCGAAATCGTCGTCGTTGCTCCTTGCCGTCATCCTCTTTCGGTAGCATCATGGGTGTCCAGTGGCCGAGTGAGTCGCTCTACCGTACGACAGGTCCAGCATCGCCATCGACATCCTGGATGCCTCCTTGTCACCCGCCTCCACCACTACCACTACCGGGACAAAGATGAGTCTTGGTCTCCTGTCCTGCACAATTTATGGTCTGTAATCCATGTGTTGCTGTAGATAGCTGTCGCAAAAGTAGATGATAGTCTCAGAAATCCAATCCATATACAGCATCCATCCATCCCATCCCGTGCTTCCGCCGGCTGCTGCGCTCGTCCACTTGGGTTATTACCATGTTGACACTGTAGTTAGATATCATATCGCCAGTGGTACCAACGGCCAAATAGGGACAGGTATCAAGAGGACATTGCGGGTAGTTTAGTTGGCGCCGGCCATCCATCGTCTGCATCTTCGTCTTCGTCTTCGTCAGCGGCGTCAATGAATGTCGTCCAGCACGGACCTTCAACAAAGGCTGGATTGGATGCAAAAGAAGTGATGCTCAGCTTGCTCGTCGCGGATGTGGGCGATAGATAGCCCGTGCGGGTCTTGTCTCGTTCGCCACAAGAGCAACAACCTCGAGACATTCTTGATTGCATTGCATTCATCCTCCTCAGGTTACTTGCTGCCAACGCGACTATCGTGTTTTGAAGCGTTTCGCTCTTCCCCGCGTGTCGTATACCTCGCAAGTCAATTACCGCCACTAAAGTCATGCCCTCCTTTTATAGCAAGACGTTTCATACTGTAGTAGTGTGGTAATAGACCGGCAGTGGCTAACAGCCAGCAAGAGTGGGAATCGAAAGGCAAGACTGCCGCATGATGAATCCTGGCCCTGGCCCTGGCCCGTGGAGCCATTTCAAAAGTATTCGGGCCTGTCGGCTCGGTGGTCGGAGAGAGTGTAATCAAGTCGCTTAGTAGTGGTATTGATCTAATATTCTGAATCGATATTGGCACTCTAGATGATCTGCAGCATAGGTTCCAATCTTCAAGTATCCGAGGTAGAAAAGATCGAACACAACAGCCCCATGAGTAAGTAATGTTACACTATACGTTCATGGTGTCCCTGAAATCGCTCAAAGGCCAGGGCATCACGAATGTGACAGTCATCGTGCACAATCTGGTATAGCATTTTCATCTTCTATCGAGTGATCATTCTATCGTCAACGTCAAGAACATATGTACCGATCGAAGTGAGTGAGAACCGGGGCTATTCTCCTCGCCTTTGGTATTCAAACTTCTGGCCACAACCACCGCGCCCAGGGGGTGCATAGTGACGTTCCAGCGCGAGTTCGCCATGTGCCTCTTCGCCAAAACCCGGCCACATCAAGCCGCCTCCGCAAGTGTTTGGCTGTGCAGCGATCGAAATGAATGACTGCTGTGGACTGCTTGCTCCGCCGCATACAAACCTGAGACCTGAGGTTGAGTTAGGTCGCGGTCTTCAACCCTGTGAGTGCTTTCCCTGTCCTGTAGACGTGTAGACGATTGACTGATGGTATTTTAGAAAGTGAGTATTCGAGATATTCGACGGACCGGACCGAATGTGTGCTCATTTCCGCAGCTTTTCAAAGTCCGCCATGGAGAAGGCGTAGCAGCTATCCTGCCTCCTCCACCTCCTCCCCCAATGACGCGGTTAAGCCTGCAATACGACGTCAAGGCTGCGACAGGCGGTGGTGCGGCGGATGTGGCAGTCTGCACAGCTAGCAATGTCGTTGACGCCCAAGGACAGATCTGCCTCAAGTTCGGAGGTACCCTGCCTGGTTTGTGTAGGTGTGCCTGAAGGTGCCTCATTGCTCCTTGGAGACCTTCGATACATGCAAACCACTCACCACGTCGGACGGCTTCTCCTGCGCCTTTTCTCCTTGCGATTCGAGCTTGGTGTGCATTCCACGCCATCTTGTTGTGCTTTGGTAAGGTAAGTTGAGGCCCGAATACGACGAGGGTCTCGAGAAAGGTCGGCTGTGGACTGTGGTGGTATGGACGGTCCTCCGGATGTTCGTCCGAGATCAATCGCCTCTGTAGGTGAGGCAGCCATGCGCGCGGAATATCCGCCTGCATACTGTGATATTGAAGTCCCACGCTGAGCCTGCGACTGCTGTTGCCTTTGGACATTGAATGTCCTCGGTAATTAACCTCGCTCGTAGAAGGGGAAAGTCGGGGTTTTATGATGGCGTTTCAGCCATCGTGTCTGTACCGAGCACTCAATGATTCGTGATTTGTCCCCAGCTAGCTCTAGGGTCCTGCCTGGCCCGACCAAACGAGGTGGACGAAATTCGTTCGACCGCCCTTTTGGTGGTGGCGACTACACCAGGAGCATCGCACTCGAGATTCTGATCAACGCTGTCAAAGCACCCTGAAAGGGCCAACAGTAACGATGATGAAAAGACAAGATTGACTAGAAGCAGAAGTAGGACGTTAGCACCAGTGAGCGTGTTCGACTTCCACTGACTTTTTGATCGCTTCTCGATGTAGTCTGCACGGCCTCAACGGAGACAAAGCGACAGTAACTGACGACGATTTCTTTGCAGAAAAGGAGGGATCAGAATCGAAAAGCGCAGCAGCGTAACTTCCGATTGCGATACAGCGCGAGGCTCGACCAACTGATAATAAACACAGTCAATTCGCAATGTGAAGAGATGGCAAAGCTCCGAGGTGTATCGAAGTGCTCCAGTCGAAGAGCAAGCTTGGATCGGGGGACATCGGACATCGGCGGACAAAGCAGGAGGAACGAATGTTCTCTGGACGAAACCGATGACATGGACCAGCCGAAGACGTTCATCTGTTGAACAATACCCTGGAGCTGAGCGGCGACACCCAGCCTGCAGTGCAGCTTCCCGCCATACACCGATACGCCGCAAGGCGAGGCATGAAGCATCACGCCTTGCTCCTGTGACAGTATTTGAGCATCTCGTCCGCCATGAGTCTTTCAAGGAAGACCTCATACTTCCCTCCCTCCGACCTCGGGTGCAAAGAGACATCACCCGTTAGCTTGGCTGAGCGACCAGCCTGGGATGTGAAGGCAGCCTGCGTCCCTCTCAATGCACTTGGCTAGTCCGTTGACATTCTTGCCCCTCGGATTTCTGGTGGCATAACCGATGGATGACCTGCAGGTCGATGATGCCCGCGACGTGGACGCCCAAGTGGGCGTAGAGGGCATCCGAGTCGTTGCGAATGTCGAAGACTGTCAAGATGTTTGAAGACTCCATCCAGCACCATTTCAAGGCCGGTCCCGTCGACCGTGGTGAGGTCGAATGCCTTTGCCTTGAGCTGGTGGACGTCGACAAGGTTGGTCAACGACTGGGCTGAGTGGCATCAGCAACTGCATAATGGCAATCGTGCCTGAGACCGACTGAGATTGACGCCCTCGAGGTCCACAAACGTCAGCTGGGCCTGCTCTACCCGCATACGTTTGGTGACGAGAGTGACTAGAGCGTCAATTTTGGCTTCATTGTCGACGACGAACGGCGCCATGGTGGAAGAACTCTCTCTCGGGCAACAGGGATATCGACATCGGGATCTGGATCTCGACATGACCACTTTCCATCTTCATCTTTGGACCTGAGGGTGGACCTGAGCCTCGCCGCTTCACGCACCGGCAGGTGGCTGAGCATGGTGTCATTCAGGCAGAGCAACGGATCTCACTCATGCTCATAGTCGAGCTGAGCCGCCATAAAGTCCCGATTCAAGCAAACTCCGCAGGCCTCGCACTCTTGCAAGTCAAACAACAAACGCTCCTCCTGCCACTAGCGGTGTAATCGGTTGCAAGCGCTGTCAGCCGGCGGATGTCAACTGGTCTGTGACCTGATTTGATGTCATCCTTCCATGTCCGGGATCTTCCAGTGGTGGAGACATAGCAATGTAATATGACATTACTAAGGGAGGCTCGCATTTTGGATGTCGCAGGAGGGTAAGGAGGATCTCATCAGTGAAGGTCGGGGTCAGGGAGGGGTCTGCGAGGTGTTCGAGGGCACAAGAGAATTGGTCATGTTGCACCACAGCCTTGCGCCCCGAACCGTTGATATTTAAGACAGTGTCAGACGTCCGCCTCATACCAGTGATGCCAGGGCTGTGTCCGATGATTGTATGCATGCGGAGAAACTCCATGCACGTTGGTTGTGTTGGACCCATGATAACATGCCAGACTTCCAACTCCTTTTGATTTAGGACAGTACTGCAGAGTACACTCGATGACACAAGGTCGTTCTTCTCGTACGCGAAGACGGCGCCGTCTGCGCTCCATTAGGCTGTAGGCTGCGCATATGAGGTCAGGGCTTGGGATTGTGTGTGGCGATCCTGAGCCATTTGGTCAAGAACGCCCTTCAATGAGCTTGTGCTTGTTCTCTCCCTGATTTTTACCGTGTTTCTCGTCTTAATATCCATTCCTCCACCCCATGGCATGACCGTGATATGCCTTCTGAGGTTGTCATGGCGCGAGTAAGGTTTATCAACAGATCTCACACCTGAGATTTTGCAGGATCAGCCTTCTGGACCGTGGCGACATGTCTCTTGAGGACCTCTCTTTGGCCTTCTTGAAGTGGGCATCACATGTACCAGTGGTCACTTAAGGGGCTTCTCGATTTCTCTCCACTCAGACCGCGTCAGCCGTATATCTCTTGATCACGACCCGGGTCGCTATAGAATATCGGGTTTTACCGTTGAGATTCTCAGGGTGGTCTCCGTCTCGACGTGGAGGGGTCTCGTGCTTGCCATGACAGGGTCCGGGCTTTCGACTTGGGTCGTCTGACGACACGTGTGCGGTCCGAAGAGGGCGATGGATGGGGAGGGTGACATGTGAGAGTGATGAGTGGTGGGTAAAGCTTCACTTTTCTGCTGTCCGATCAGAAGCTTCTTGGTGCGTATCTCGTCCAACAGCGGGTGGTCATAGCCGTATGATGGTGGTCTTCGTCGTGCCCGCCGGCTCCATTGTTCTACCGGTGCGCTTGTCCTTCGGGACCGACCGAGATCTCTAATATCTGACGGGTTTTATCTTTATATCCATCTCTTTGAGTATCGTCCGACCTGTGTGTGACTTTGTCTTGTCTTCCTTCTGACGTTTCGGGAGGAGGATCTTTCCGCTGCGTGTGGATTTCTTGCTCGATCAGGGGGGAGAGGATTTATGGCAGGAACTTGACGTCTTGACGACTGAGGATTGGGATGAATCGACGAGCTGTACCGCCGGCTCAAGATCTGCCAGGGCCTCGAGGAGGACCTGCTCGACCCGGACCTGTTTGCGGAATATGCTGTGGAATTCGAAAGAGGAGAGACTGATATGGCACGATTTTGGACAAGTGCAGTAAACAACTCGGGGATATGAGGACGAGACTTCCAACGAGCACCTGCGATCTTTCTGCTAGGCTCAAGCCGCGTTGAACAACGAATGAGTAGTCAAAGATTCCAGCAGCTGAGTGGAAGCAGTAGATATCCAGCCAGGGCGCAGGTCGATGACGTGACTCCTGCTTTGACCAATCACGCGAATGCACGCATGTGTGATGGCAATGACGCTTCCAGCGCTTTGTTGCTCGCGTAATACTGTAGAGAGGGAGATGTCTGAGGCCACCATATCAACATCTGATGTCGTTTTAGGACTTGTGTCCATGTACTCGGGAATCAGGCTGGGAGCCTCGTCAGCCTCAGCCTCATCAGCCTCGCCAACCTCAGTGACCTTAGCCTCGCCGACCTCAGCCTCGTCAGCCTCAGCCTTGCCTCGGATGCCTGAAAGTACGCCTCGTTCCGGTCGATCATGTCCGCCACGGGCCAGAGGTCTAATCCAACGAGGTGGCAATGCCTTCCTTGCCCGTCGACGGGTCGATCAGAACTTTATCCCGCGCCGACGACACGTCGCTGAGCCTTTTCAGTTCCCGGACGTCGACCGGTGGATCAAAGGAAGACCAGATGACTGGTGGTGGTCGTGACTTTCTCGGCCACGCTGGTGACGCTGCACTCCGTATATCTTTCCTGACTCGAGGATTCTGGAGTCAGGGCGAAGGTTCTCATATGAAAGAGTCGAGGTCAAGGGGCTCTATGCCCCAGTCGTGACAACCATTGGGAATACTGTCATGCGAGCCCAGGGTCGTCGGGCTTATGCTGAGGCAAGTAGTCCGCTGTCTCTCTGGGGACACTCGAGATCATGCTGATGTAACAGGTGCAGAACACTCGGACAGGATTTGATGGAGACAGAGGGTGGGAAATATCATGTCAGTTCCCTTAGGGACATGCACGGATGGTCCAGAAACTGCCACTTAGCAAGAGGGAAATGCTTGTTATTCCAGATCCCCCGCCACTTCTCTTGAGTATACTGAGCCAGAGACGAGAAGGAAACTTGTGTCGTTGCATTCCCCGGTCATCCTGAGTTCAACCCGAAGAACGAGATCACATAGAAGAACAATGTGACAGTCAGCATCAATACGCATGAATCAATTTGATTCTTCATGCCTTTGACACTCTCGCTCGCAGTCAGGGCTTTCAAAGACAGTACCCATCGCTACGAGATCCTTCCCTGTGACGGTGCGTCGGCCCAACGAAAGACAACCCGGCTGGCAGCTGTTATGCGCGCATTTGATCATGGCGAATGTAACCCCGACCTTGGAGGTCTCCAGAAGGACTTATTATCGGGGATTGTTTGTCGCTCGCAGCTTTAGAGCTCTCGCCTCTCGCTTTCAGGATGCGTTGAAAGAAAAGAAAAAGGAAAGAAAGAAGTTGGCGAGAAAGTTCTCCGGGACAGATGGAACATTATAGTGCACCGTCCGCAGAACTCGCAACTTATCATTCAGCCCGAGATGTATGTGCTCCTGCCTGATACTGTCTGTCTCTCAAAGCTGACCTTTCAAGGTCTCGATCGTCAGCTCCTCGAGAGGAAGAGTATCTGGTGGCGGAAGTGAGGTTCATGAAGCCGCACCGATGGGAAAGTCTGCCATCGTTCGTACCAGTAGTAGTAGGTGGTTTCGGGGGAGGAAATATGGATTTCGAAAACCGTCCAATCTTTCGTAAACGAGCTGCCAAGTATGCAAGGCTCGCTCAACTCGACGGGGTTGGTCAACTTCGCGCATGAGCCTCTTCTCCAGGCGGAGAACCTAGAGAGGGGAAGCCATCAAGTTGAATTCCGTAGGGGGGAGCTGGAAGATGAAAGACATTGCCGCTGCAGCCAAGAGCGCGGATCTGTTGTCGGTGTTGATGACGTTCGACACCAGTGCGGATGCATGGTTGGTTCGTTCAATTGGGATTCTTCTCGTACGGTCTAATATGGCTCCACACGAACCTGTACTTCCCTCCTCCTCCTACCAGTGCTACCCAAGTGCGCGGTTCCCGGGTGCCAATCGTGACCGTGACCGTGACTGGGAACGGGACCATCGAGCTTCGACGAGCAGACAGACCTCAATTCGTGTCCGCGCCGGCTATCTTACTTTCGTTTGACCTCAGCCGAGGCTTCAGATCAGCCGATGCTGAGAGGTTGGATTTTGATTCTCCAGACTTGACGGAGTCGCAAAAGACAGTGCGGAAGGAAAAGCGTGCCGGTCAATTGTTGTTCAAATTGACTCGGCATCAAGTGGTGGATGATGCACGCAGTGTGGGATTATTTCTCAGTCTTTGGCTTCTCGATGGTGTTCCACTCCTTCCAATTGATCTTGCGGAACTTCCTAGAAACAAAGGAATGAATGACGCACGGTTGATCTCAAAGGATGTGTCGACATTCCAGTCTCCTTGAGGCCGTGAATCGTCAATTCAATCCAATACGCGAACAACCAGCTCAAGGGGACACCCAAGCAAACAAGCATCCATAATGGCAGAAACACAGAGCAATCGACTAATGGTTCTTTCTGCCCGGCCACGGCACCGTCGGAGCTGGTGTCAACGTGGCTTTCAATAATATCAAATCAGCTTGTTGTTCATGGAAGTCCCACCGAACAAACTGCGTTGCATCGAAGTCAGCTTTAACTGGCGTGGCGAGCCAGCTAATTCTATGAATCGACCTAAGGAAATCGTTGCGGAGAAGGCGGTTGATATGTAACAGCGACCTCATGGTGTTGGCGAGGCCACTGTCAAGATGGGCGAAATGGATGAGATTCAGATTGTCCAGGAAGTGCGAAGTTCTCCTCGCTCGGTCGCTCCTGAAGGGACGCGGATGGCTCTGCTGCTTCGAAAATCCAACGGACGGCAAAGGGGTGAAGGATTTCACATATGTGGTTGAAGAAAGGAGATGGGCCGAATAGTCGTATCATCGGCCACAAAGTCCTCGACTGATGGAGGTGCCGTAGATATGAGTTCCGCCGCTGGCAGCCACGCAGTCACCGGCAGTAACTGTCGTCCTCGTCATACAGGACGATGGTCTGATCCACGTGCGTGGTACACGTCGCCGTGCACTTTATGGTCGTCGGGGTGTTGATAGGGAAGCACGCGTTGCCAACAGACCTTGGAGTAATGGATAATCCCAGGCATATGCGAGCAGGACACCGCAGGTTCATCCTAAAAAGCCG